AGGACATAAACCTGCTGACATTGGATTAACTGGTAAGTCATTGAATCTAAAAAAACTTCATCTTCATGTAATTAACCCCTAAATAGCAGGGATCATGCCGTGTACTGCCCTCCTGTGGTTCATGCATGGCTGTGATATTTTGATATTTTATGAACTTGTTTCCACTAAACAGCACCCACAGACTCCACAGTATTGTTTTGTGAATTTTGCATAAACACAGATGGCTCAGTCAATTAGCAGGCCTAACATGAACTCAACCAATTTTCCATTCCTTGAAATTTTAGATTTTTTTTTCTTTTCTAATGCTATTAATAATAATACTGTTATCATTATCATTATTTATATTAACACTACATAATGGTATGTGCTTCCAAATATGTTCTCATATCAACTGCCCAAAAATGCATTTATCAAGTGTGTTGTTAGTCTAAATGTGTATCTTTACCAAACATGTTCACATTAATGCCCTACAATTATGAGATAAAGATTTTTTGGCAGTTGGTCTAGCTTCAAATACTAATAGCAATAAAAATTACTATTCCCCCCCCTAAACTCTTGAGGAGTCATATATGAGGGGGGAAAAAATTAAAAAGACAGTAAGAAAGAAAGAAAGAAAGAAAAATATATATTCATGTACATTTACAAATACATGTTGTAACCTTTACATATAAACACATATAAATAAAGCACCAGTCTTCAAACAAAAATCTACCTTAAAGGTTCTAAAATGAAACAAAAATCCTTTCGACTTACTGATCACGAGATACATCTCCATCCCCATTAGGATAGAGAGCGTGGATGTAGATATGAGACATAACGACTCTTTCCAAAGCTAATCGTGCTGCATTTAGCTGGTCGTTGGTGCTACCTGTTGACAATCGAGATGTTGGCAGGTAAGGAAGAGTACAGATAAATATGACTTACTCTTTTTTTTTTTTTTTTTCAATTTTACTATTGTCAAAATTCTGATAGAGCACAAAACTCTGACTTACTAATCCACATTGGATCTCGTTCCAATTCGTTATAAAGTTGCGACAGGAAATTTTCAACCAGCTGAACTTTTTCATCTGGGACAGTCAGCACTGTGAATTCATGTGTGAAGCGACTCAGGTTATGCTCCCGCCGCTCAAGGAACATTCTCACGCATACTCCAACAATAGACGACATGACAACTTCCGTATCAGCATCTATTCTTGCAAGGAGTCTGGGGTGGAGAGGATTCATTCAGAAATACCATAAAAAATACACACCTACTGACAAAGGCTAAAAATGAATTCTGGAATGTGACCACTTCAATCTATGGTTTACAATGTTATCAAATCAATAAGGAAATGTTTAAAGGTTCTAATTTTTATGTTTAACTTACTTATCCAGATGAGCAATGGTAGTCAGCAGCCCCTGTCTGCTGCGAACGAGGTATGCGACGTAAGGTGACCTGCTGCGGTAGTCCTCTGTCAAACTTCTGACCAGCCTTTCACGGCCCTAGAGCAAACACCTCATTACCATGTTTTTCTTATAATGTAACACAAGTATATAGAACTGTTAATATTCCTCTTCAATAATCCAGATATCTTTGGATATCAAATGCAAAAGCGAGACAGTACAGCTGATCAAATTTGCAAGAAAATTCAGTGTGTTTTCACATGTAAAACCAGTACCTGAGTATCAAAGAGCTGAACACAACGAATTGTTTCATGCAACTGAGCCACCAAGGATCGATCGTGGAGGTTGGTTGCCTCGGCCAGCTGGCACCGTAACCATGTTAGTACATCACTGTCTAGGCTTGTACCACTTTGAGGGAGATAGAAAAAATAGTTATTTGAAAAAAAAAAAAAAAAAAGTACAAACAAACAAACAAAAAAAAGGATAAAAATACATATGCCCATACAGACATACCATATAACAATATGTAAAAGTTCACGATACATCACTATTTCATGTAGACTTATAAAAAGACGAAAAACTGACGAGTCACTTACTCTGAACCTGTTGGTGCACCAAATTCAGGGAGATATGGGGACATGGAGAAATCTGCAATACTCAGAACTAATCTCAACTTTCTCTTGGCATCTGTGAATGCGTAACTTGACTCGATGTTGTTTGGATCTATGAAAAGACGCTCATCCTCCTCCGTCTTCGGAATGTCATTCACTTGCCTGCCAAGAAGGACACGAAATCTCTTCATAGTAGTAAAAATTATATAACATTTCTAAAATACCTCTATGTTATCAATGCACAGCAAGATAATTATGTAAAGACAATCGAAATTTCAAAAGATTTGAAAAGGAAAATACAAAATAAAGACTACTCACAAATTATGCTCCACACCAGAAATGCCATCTGTTTCAGACGTGTCCACCTCTGGCTTCTTCCGATACTTGGCTAGAATGTCATCACTAGTTTCCTCAATGGTTGGAGGTCTGTTATCTTCTGAGAGAGTTCTTCTCATGTTAATTTCCTGTCCAGCCATTCCTGCACGCATGAAAGATGAATCATCACCCGAGCGAGTGCCTGGCTTGCGACGGCCCTTGAACCCCGGCAGCTTAAAGTTTTTAAAAAAGCCCCGCTTGTGCTTTGCATCTCCCTCCATGGAATCACGATCCCCTCGTTCAGCTGTCTTGTCGAAACTAATACTTTTTGGTATTGCTCCCGTGGCTGCCATGCTGACAGGCGGGGCAACAGGTTCTGGGGTGTCTACCGAGTCTGTGGTTGGACCTGAGCTAGCATTGGAAGCTGACCTTATCTTACCCGAGCCCCCAACCACATCCGAACCTGAGCTGCTTGATGAGGCTAAGCTTGTAGTGCTTAGGTGTAGGCTGCTGTCCTCCCCAGAGCCTCGATCACTGGACACAAGCTTGTGGTGAGGATGAACTACCACTGGGGCAACCATGTGGCTGCTCTCACCACTGCTTCCCAAGTCAATCAGGGGGGCAGTTGTTACGGTTCTGCTACTCTCCCCAATAAAGGTGTTCAACAGTAGGTGTTGGTCTCCAGACACAATGCCATTGTTTGGTAATGTTGAAAGGTTTAGGCTCAGACGTCCCAGACTCTGCGTGGCTGAAGCGATTTCCTGATCTGCCTGAGACATTTCACCCTCTGGCTCTTCTGACTCTGGTCGATCAATGTCTTCTGCATGGCGAATGGGCTGAAACTCTACTCTTGGTGGTGTTGCGGGTCTTCCTGCTCTATTCTGAATTATGGGAATGGGTTTCAGGATGCCACTGGGTGTGCTAGTTCCAGATTCTAACCCTAGGGATGGGGGCAAAACAGGCATGGGTTTTAATATACCACTACTACTGCCCCCACCAAAAGCTCCCTCCACAGGGGATCGTGAACCCTGTGCACGTGGGGTGATGTTATCCTCTTGCTGATTCAAGGGTTCTGGCCTTAGCAAGTCACTCCCACCAAGCTCAACCTCCACTTCTGACCGTCCAGTGTCATCTGATCGAGCCACACTCTGTGCATCATCGGTGTCAAACTCAGTCATCCTTTCTGAGTCTGAGGCCAGGACGTCTGTGCTCCATGCCTCTGAGGCTGTCTCAAAGGTCTCACCAGCTGCATCTCCACTGAGGTAGTCTCCTTGCATCCTGTCCAGTTCTGCTAAATGGCGGTTTAGCAGCTGATCATGGAACTGGTCCCCACGGTCTGCCCTGTCAGCTGCCTCAATGGTCTCAGAATCACTAGCCAACACATCAGTGCTCCATGTGTCTGACACAAGTGATACCGTTTCATCACCCCCTATGAGAGGCTTAATTTCAAATCTCCCAAACTTCTCCTCAATGTCTGCTCTCGCCGGTTTGGGGACTGTCACTGGGATGTTGGCCGCTGGAGGGTGGTTCTCTGCTCCGCCCCTAAGTCCAACTTCCTCCCCTTCTGTCACCTGGGAGGAAGGAGTGTCACGGCCAGATACATTTGGTGTCCCTCGTCCAGAGACATTGGCAGACACCATATCTGACAGGTTGTCTGGTTGATCCTCCTAAAATTAACGTGAGAAAAAAAATCACCAGTGTTAATAAAAAGACATTTCTCAAATCCCTATCAAAACTTAACAACTAACATCAACCTTTCAAACATAAAAAAGAGAAGCAAAAAAGGATCCCCATTTATGCAAATGTTTCAAAACAATAAACGCGGCATCTAACGTCTTTCGAAAACTCCATTACCTGCTCCACATCATCAAGACTGGAAGCCACACTATGGTTGCTGGCAGCTTCACTAATGGCCTCCAAGTTGTCTGAAGTATTGCCGATGGAGCCCTCATCATGGGACAGGGAAAACCGTGTCCGCTTCTCAATGGTGGCCTCTCCTCCACCTCCATCTGCATCGTCTTCCACATTCATTCTGACGCGGGAGGTAGGTTTGGTTGCCTGGAGGGGGGGGCCAGAAACCTGTGCTCATTTAGGAGATTTAACCTAGTTTAAGTAAAACAATCTTAGGTAATAGGGAAAAAAATAACAAATAAATAAAAAGGAAAAATAAATAAAGACATTCATCAACATCAGACTGATTCTAAACAATCCAAGTGACATTGGGGTTTTGACCTAAACACAAACTTTCCCTACAGATTTCATATCATCTGAAAGATATATACTCTACTTCAAAATATAGACATTTAAATATCTAAAAACAAAAATCAGATTACAGCTACAAAATATAACTTGATACCTATATCCAAAATGATGAGATCTTGTGATACATTAATCCAATGCCTCCAGGTTGCCTAAAACACCAAGAGCCCTAAACTCCAGGACTGCACATAATCATGGTAGTATGCACTATATGTACACAGCCAGCATGCTTGATTTTATGCCATATATGCACTGATAAAGCCCTGGTTTATGTCACTGATACAGATATATATATTAAAATGAGGCCCTAGTGCAAAGTATCTGCCAAAATTACTGTAAAAGTATCCAACCACCATGATGCAAATCTTCATCACATAAGGGCTATAAACTGTGATTGGGCTTAGATGATGTGTTCCTAGAGAGTCACCCATTCTGGGAATGACATGCCATCCAGAGGCAAAGGGTTAATGTCACAGTATGATATCAAAGACAACAAGGCAACTTAAAGATGACGAATTATCAAAGAATTCTTGGTATACATTTGGACATGAAATTAAATCTTCCAATAGAATAAACAGAAATAAACAACCAAATTTTATAGGTCAGAATATTATAGTTAATAATAATAATCCTAAGCCATCTGAAGAAAATGTTTTTCTGAGAGAAAACCAGAGCAAGAACTGATACAAACCATATCTTGTAACAAAGATCTCAATATAGTATTTCTAAAACAAACCTATGATTACCAGATGCAAGAATTGTATGTAAAAAATTATTACAAAAAGAAAAGTTCTCTGGCACTATCTGTGAAAATTTTGTGGTTCTCTGAAATCACCGTGTCATTATCACTGTAACATAAGTCCTTCAACAATTACCTGCAGCGTAGAGAGGACCTTCTCCTCAGACATGAGGCCTGGGCACTCTGGTGGGCTGGAGACATTAAGGGATATCACAAGGACCGTGTCATAGTCTAGGGAGGCAGGCATCACCTCGCCCTCATCAATGCTGCCTTGAGCAGGGAGCTGACTAGAACTGGTGGTAGAGTCCTGTGTTGACCCTATGGAATCAGAGTCACCACTGCCCTCACTTGCACTCTTGCTTGATCTATTCCTGTACATAAAAGGGAAAACAAATTGCAACTTGCTAGTATACAAAATAAATCAACATCAGTCTTTTAACATTTTTTTCTAATATTTCATGACTCCTTTGAGGATTAACTTTAACTATACATAGATTTTCAGCCTCAACTCTTCACTTTACATAAAACAAGCAAGCCATATATACAAACCTATTGGATTTCACTCTCCCTAACAGATTTTTCTTGGGCGTGGCTGAACTGGCCGAGGGGACCCCAGGCTGGGATGTAGTCGGAGGAGGAGTGATGTGGCTTGGCTTCAAGCGGCCAATTGCTGCTTCCAGTTCTTTACGGGTAATATCATCATCTGGCAATTCACCAAGTATCTGAAAATACACATTAGTTGATAAACCTGAACATTATTATAGCATTTCTCATTTACCAACTTATACAATCAGTTTCATGTGCAGAATACAAAAAAGGTGTAATTGAAATCAGTAAATACAGGTATAACATTTTTAGTTATACTCAAAGGAAAGGAAAAACACAGTAAGAAACATCTTTTTCTAGTGCGTATCCTCTTGAAAAAAAAAAAAAGGAGCTTAAGTGAAACTGTCATAGATGCACGATCAATATGCATATTTAATATTTTGGTCACTTATGGGTTATATCCACAAGTGACTGGTATGAAGTATGTTTGAACTGTCATTAATAATGTTATGTGTTTCTATATTCACTGTTATCTGTTTAGATAAGCTTGGGAGGTTTTAATAATTTGCCAATAAAAATCAAGTAAAGGAAAAAAAAATTCTAACAACAGAAAACAAATAAAAGCACACACAAGAGTAAATTACAATAATAAATACATTAATATGTTTTGCCTGCTAACTCTAAAAGATCAAAATCAACTTACACTAAAAAGGAATGAGACAAGTGAATGTAGACGAGGCTCCGGGATCAATATTGACGACCGGACTAAGGTACTCAGGGGACTGTTGAGGCAAGAGATCCCAGGTGGAGGGGCCTCTGACCCTCCCCCTTCAACAATGCTGTCCACAACACCTGATATGACCTGTGGACAATATGCAATATATATATAAGTCCTGTCAATAATAACTCTCAGGTAAGTAAATGAAAATAATGTAATTGTAGGTTATCAGATTTCTACCGGATGCCAACAGGTACTTCATGCTTCGTACTGGACCATGCACCAGGTGCCATGCAAAGTAAGCCACTTGGGGAAAAAATTAATTGCATGGGAATCATATAATTTCTCCACTCGCTATGACTGGTTGCATTGAATGAGGCTAAAAATCAACTTCAAGCCTTTTTTCTAGAGGCTGTAACTTCTCAAATGCCGTAGTAATGGCTAAACAAGGGAACGACTGCTCATTGTGTACCACTTAGAGCAGGTTCAACACTCGTGACGTAGGTGTACATGCCACCTGGAAGGGAGTCCAGTCATACCATGGCATATACATACATGCTACCCATTGGCAAGGGGTTAATAATAATAGTCATCTAAACTCCATGAAGTTTACATCAGTTATTTTCCTCTCTCTCCCGCCTTAAATATTTGATGTAACATTGTCAAGCAACAGACACTCACCTCTTTGTCAAAGTTTGAGTACAGATCTGAGAGTCGGCTATCTGGCGTTTCCCAGCGACTCATTGCCAGCACCTGCAGTATCTGAGCAACCTGTATGGTAAAAATGAAAGATATTAAGACATGCAAACAGAAAATCATTAATACAGAAATCCATTTCTCATTTCACATTATGTGTAGAGACATCCCACGTTCTCTTAATCTACGACATACTAAAGGTGGCAGTTAAGCTAATGCCATGACATGACTCACCTGAATGAGATTAAACCTGGAAATGTGAGAGATCGGTGCATCACAGATTCCGTGCGGCTCGGGTGAGATGAGGGCTGGACAGAGAAACAGTGCGAAGACCAAGTCCACGCAGATTGCGCTAACCTCTCTGGTGTCAGCTCTCTTGGCCGTTAGGAGCACGTCGTACAGCACTCTTACGAGCCACGACAACTGGGGTGGGAAGCAGTTCATTGCTTCCTTAATGCTCTCCATGAACCTGAGGGTGGAACTTGGGTCACCACTGCATCAACTCAAAGCACCCTCACTCTTTTCTGAACACTCCTAAGAGGTAGCCATCATTTCCAAATATATGTAAATATAAGTCAAGTATCCTTTGGATACGTACAGGTATGTGTTCAAGCCATGCTACTTTGGTCTTTAACATGTATACATTGCTCCCGTCTATGTCAACATTCCAAACTAACATCCATGCAGAGAAGATAAGTGCAAAAGTGCATTTTTTAAAACATTCCCAGTCTTTCATTAAGATATATATGTAAGATGTTTTTATTGTCTAAAACTGGCATTTGCTCTATGTAACAAACATACATATTATGCTTATGAACACAGTGCACACACACAAACTCTCTCTCTTTCTCTTTGACTCTGTTTCTATGTCTGTCTCCCTTTCTGTTTCTACCTCTCTCCTCCCTACCCCTCCCTTTTCTCTCTTATCTGTATATCACAAAACCTTTGTCATGAATATTCACATTCTAATTCTACATTCCTGAGACATAGAGGTGCTATAAATACATCCATCAAACCATGTTCAAGTCATGAGGCAAATTACAAAGTGTGTCAATTCAACTGTATTTTGATATCAAACCAGTGCATAGAAAGTCCTTCAAAATGATGCCATGCACTTACTACAGTCTTTATAATAGATGTGCATGGAATTTATCTAGCTTTACACATATTAGTAAAAATTAAGTCTTTTTTTTTTAAATCAACATGTTTATACAACATAAAGAGTCATATCCTCTAACATCAAACTGATATACACAAGACATCATTTCTAAAATGCATTCTTCAGTATGATGATATGATGTTGCTTTGTTCCATGCTAGATTAACATATTCAAAATTTATCAATAATGATTAATTCATTATACCTGTTTGCAATTTTGACAAGCTTGGCAATAGTCCAGGCTCGGTATTTAGCAAGAGCAGCCGTGTACTCGGGTGTGCCTTCTTGACCAAACCTTCTAAGCCGCTCCTCTGGGGGGAAGCGAACCGCAGCCTTGGCAGGGTCAATATCGAGAAACAGTTCGTCTTCCATCAGGAGCTGCATGATTGGTTGGTGTAATGCTGCTGTTAGGAATACCTGCCAAAATCAAGAATTTCATTATCTCTCCTCCCTACGCTGGGTATCCCTGGCTGGGAATACACTTTCACGGCCAAGAAATTATTTGAAATGAAAGTCATTCCTTATAAGACAAGCTGGCAAATTTTATATGACTAAGATGTCCATTTCTGAACCTCCCTGACATAACATTCCTGATACCTTGGCCTGAGGAAGCGTGTCTACATATGAACGATAGATTTGGCTGAATGCACAGGACCCGCGTCGCAGCAAACGTCGAGGAGTCTCTGAGACGGCAAGCTGTAGCTCCATCAAATGTCTGTGTGCAATTTCAGAAATGAGGCATAAAAGCTGGAATTGGAAACTTTCATCTGAAAAATAAAACCCTACCTTGAGGAAAAACTTTCCAATCAGAGATTTAACAAGCACTTAATCAAAGCAATGATTCAGTTGAAAAAATCAGGAATCAGCTTTAATCTCTAAATTTAACAATGCACCAGTTTATCACCAGAAAACTGATTTGCAAGGCATGAGGCATGAGAAAAAAAAAGAAAAAGAAAAAGAGAAATAGTAAATGCAGCAATCAAATAGAAATAAAATCACTTCAGCCTACACTTACTTCAGCAGATTCAGGACTAATGTTTCATCATCTGGCAGGAGGCAGTTGCCGTACACCGACGAGAACATAGTTCCCGCGGCTACCTGCATGGCCTCCTGGTTCTGGTTCTCCCCCAAAACCAGGCATTTTGCAACTAGTCGTGGATTATCACGTAAACTTGACAATAGGTCTCCATACAGAGATTCCTGCAATAAAATACTATGGTATAAAATTTTGCTCACCTAATACAGTGAAAGAGTAGTTTTCCACACACATAACTTCCATATCCTAGCATTACAATATAAAGAATCAATCAATCATTACCACAGATATGCAAACCAAAAGCGCTTGCTGATATCTGCCATTGGAATGATCAGAAGCCCAAGGGAAGGCAAGACTTACATTGAATCCCAGCACTTTGTATCCATCGATGAACTTCAGCTGATTGAGGAGGTTGGCTCTCTGGCAGCACGCCGGGGGGGAGGAATGGGGTCGCAGAACAAGATCATCGTAGTTTCTCTGTTGCTCACCACGGACCCAAGATGCCTGATACACTCGCTCTATAGTCTTCACAACCTATC